TGGAGCTGGAACCTCTGAAACAGAAAAGGAGTCAAATGTCTGGAGCTGCAGTGAGAAATGTCAGTGCTCTGCTGCTCTGCTCTTTGACAGCGTCTCCACATGAAGCTGAATCACTGCTCAACAGTCAGCGAGCCTTCATCACCTTGTTGTGTCTGGGCCTCCACTGTGCCGCCCTCGTGCTTGACGTAGCAGCGGTATTTATACGTGCTGTTCTCTGGCTGGTGGATCAGCAAGATGGCGGCGGTGCGTCCCGGCTCTGTGAGCACCAGCTGCTCTCCATCATCACGGGTCAGCTCCTCCAGAGAACCATCCTCCTTCTGTCTCTTCCAGGAGAACTGGACCAGAGGAGGAGACATGGCTGAGGCCAGACACAGCAGGGAGCTCTTCCCCTCCAGGTGGGCTCTGGATGCTGCTGGGTACACGCTCACCACGGGCTTCACTACCGGCTCATCTGAAGTTTGACAGCAGCAACAAGCAGCACAGACACATTCACACAGTCAACAGCAGCTTCCAGCACTGCACTGCATTCAGTCTGATCCTGGAAACTACATGGACTCTGATCACTACACTACTCATCAATACAGCACAAAGGTCTCCACATACACTGGACTCACCTTCACATAGATTTACTCTGCTGTAGATCATGCTTATATATGATGTATATCATCACAGAAAGATGGAATCACTATTTAAATTCTTTATACTCATATTTCACTTTCATAAATCATCAGCTCAGAATATGTGTCTTCATAATATTATATTAATATTAATGTATAATATATAATATAATATATATTTGTTTTATTTAACAAAAATACATATTTACTATTATCAGAAACAAAATGACAGTTATAAGATGTAAAGTTTTAACTGAATATCTAATGATATAAAATATATTATAGGATTTTATTCCTAATATAACAACAACAACATTCACCATTATATATTTTAACAATACACAGAATGAAAAATAAAGAAGTGTGCGTGTATTTTTTTATTTTCTTATACCTACAATAGTTTAAGGTATAATTTCTGTGTGTATGCACATATAAACATTTTATTCATTGATATTAAATTCTATTTTATATTAGATAAATATATCATATATTGATTATAATCTTATGAGTGAAATATTTACCCTCAGACAATTTTATATAAATGCTTCATTAAAGTAAATAAATGTTTTAGTGGAAGAAATATTTGCAGTCATTTAAATAACAGTTTATCCACCAAACTAATATAATAAAAACAATATAGACTAATTCTCTTCAATTATACTAGATATATTCACACAATCAGACACATTCACCATTATATACAGTGTGGTTCACTTCATTAGATAAACAGTTTTAACTTTATACAGATTATATTCACTGAGAATTAGTGTAATATTTACCATGGAAGTATAGATCTATATATATCATCCAGCATTATATATTATACACACAGAAAATCTATAGGTCAGTCTAGTAATTATATCTAACCGACTTATAATTATTTAACATCATTAAAGTTGTATCATTATTAAATGTAATATTTTACACAATTTATATATTTTCCCTCAACTTGTTTGTTTTCTGTTAAAATGAATATTTCACATAAAATACTTTAATCATCAGACATCAACTGAATTAATTTATTGTATTATCCACCATAAACTTTACAAATATAATTTCCCATGAAGGAAAATCAGGTTTAAAAACATGTGAGTTTGAAGAGTCAGAGTGAATGTGAAGAATCCTGCTCATCACTGAATTTCACTTTGATGAACTCAACATTTTGTAGCAAAAGTCAAGTGAGCAGAAAAATCCTCCAAAATCCTTCATGTAGAAGTCAATTGATTTGAGGAGAGAAAAGAAAAGCAGTGTGATGATTGATGAAGCAGCAGCTGATGACGATCCACAATGCTCTTACAATATCAGACTTTTTGGACTCTTCAACAACTTTCTTGTCTCAAGCAGAAATAAAGAATTCCTTCTGCTGTGCAGTGAGACTGAAACATCTTTCCACTAATGTTGAACTTTTTCATTGAACAACGGCTGCATCAGGAACTTTGTACTAAC